TTACTTTTCCACATTAAAAAACTCACCAACTATCGACCAGGAAGAGTGTTTTATGGATTTCAACTGCTTTATTATGAGGAACACAACATTTCGGAGTACACCCTTACTCATTCAACTGAAACGTTGTGTTCCTTATAATAAAGCAGTTAAGATCTATAAAACTCTCTTCCTTATTTCCTTATGTGTATCACTTCTAAATGCCATTCATATTTATGTTCAAACACCTTTATCCACCAACATACTTACAACTCTTGGTAAACTTTTTGTATCACCATTTGTAACATACCCGTGGAGATCAATCAGTAGTCCATGCTTGTCGTAAGAGGCGACTAACGGGATCTGGTGGTCAAGCTCACTGACATGGTTGACACATGTCATCTGTTCCCAATGTCGCAGATCGATGCTCATGCTGTTGATCACTGGATTGTCTGGTCCAGACTCAATTATTTACAGACCGCCGTCATATGGCTGGAATAGTGCTGAGTGCGTCGTAAAACTAAACTCACTCACTCACTCAATTTGTAATATAATCAACAAATCCTTTCCCTGATCATTCTTTTGTTTTCAACATCCTGCCAGTGAATACAGGAGAACATGTATTGGTTTGGTGATTTGTGAGCATAAGACATAAAAAAACGTACGTTCGGGGAATTGTAGTCTGGGAGATCCATAGCTACAGCCATGAACGTTTGTGGCATCTTTTTATTGGGAGCAAACCCAAATGCGGCTGTCTGGGCCCATCGTTGTTCAGGAAAGAATCCAACTTTGTCCGTCTATTCATTAGCAGCCAGCTAAACAGAACAAAACAACCTTAGCGCTAAGTGTACCTTAAGTAAATGTTAAATGTTACCTTATGTCACCTTCGCGCTAAGATCGCTTTGTATAACGGCACCCAGGAAAATAACACTTGAGCAACACTACGTTCCAGATACACTCGTATTTAATGAATATAACTGTATGAGTGAGTTAGTGAGTTTGGATGTACACCGCTTTTAGCAATATTCACACAATGGTGGGAGACAACAGAAATGGCTTCACACATTGTCCCCATATTGGGAATCGAAGCTGGGTCTTCCCCACCGCCTCCTATAAATATATTAACCAAACTATCTGTTAATTGTCTTTGGTGGAAGGCTTGTTTAGTTAACACATTATATAGGAATATGCAACCGTTGTGGAAATTGCTCTTCATGCGATTAACGAATGTCACTATTTTGATGGTTGCAAAGTACCTAATATTCATGACTTATTAAGTATCAGAACTGTTTTCGTACAAATGAATTTGTTTGGCCCAGATCCTGGAGAACTGAAGGAGCATGTCAGGCATTATGGCTTCATTTCTTTAAAAAAAATGTCTATAAGATTATCCCGATACTGATTTGAAATAACACTGGTGCCATGGATGATGTGGATACAGCTAAGGGTGTATAAAAGCAGGATTACAGTACAATGTTGCTTCTAGCATGTTTAATTAAGTATTCAAATTATGCCTCAGGACTAAACTAAAGTACTGTCGGCAATAGAAAAAAAACTGTTTTTAGGCTGTTACTCTGTATCCCTAAAATGTACACAGCTGCAAACAGGATATGTCGAAATAACCCACTTCGGCCAAACTGGGCATTGCGTTGGATGCGTAAGAGGATATCCAGAAAAGGATGTTTACTCGTAAAATCGGGCAAAACTTAGAACAAATACGAATAGCTGCTGAAAACAATAGATCAGACTATAGATGGCAATTAGGTCGCTCAGCCAGGTATGACGACTGGCCGTCGACTCACCTGGCATGAAATGCATGCGATGCCTACAGGCACAAGGGGTCATCTCAAAGATATTTTGTGCTTTTTCATGTGTGTTGACTATGTCTCATCTACTGATTAACATCTTACGTGTCTTTCTTTCATAAAGTTTATGTTGAGATATGTAAAAGATACCCATACCTGATACCCATAGAAAAGCATCGAATTCAATGTCTCAAAATATAGAGGTGGCATGACCCCCGAAGATCGACAGGACTGGATATTATTTGTAAATTGTTATGACATGCCGTGTACTTCCACAGTTAATTCCCCTAAGGGATTATCATATATTAGCTGATATCTCTATCCGCCAGCTTGACCCCGACCATCGTCTGCTACACCCGTCCTGGTTTTGCTTTTGAGACGACCCCTATAGTGATAGTGAGACTCCATTCGACCTTTAATGTAGCTACATCCTTAATAGTTTCAGCATGAAAGTTATTATTTTTTACATCAGCTGTCGTTTAAAATGAAGCTAAGTCTAATTTCAAAATGGGCATTTAAAAAAGTGTCATTTTTAATACAATATCATCGCGCACTAATTAGCATAAAACCATGGTCTGTTCCAAATAAATCGCTATGGACTTTGGAAAAATCCGCATTGCTCATTTCTGCACTGATATCTCCTTAGTAAAGTCCTTTGTTTACGTTTCCTATCTCCCTACCACTGGAACTGTAGTTAGGCCGAACTTAGTGACACCAGAAATGGGCTTCACACATTGTAAACATGCAGGGAATCGAACCCTGGTCAACCACTGTGCTACCCACTACACCAACAACATATTAGGCCTCATACGTGCAGGTGTCATCTCATCCAGTGTGACGTGTTAAGGACAGAATTAGCTTACAGCGCCAAATATGCCATTTGTTAGAATTTGAGAGTGTGCCTTACAAAGACTAAAATGACAAATATCGCAAAAACGGAATATATATGTTCGTGTTCACTACAAATAAGTAGTGGCCATGAAATGTTCTTTGTCAATGTCTGTGAATGTCGTGTTTAAAATCGGAAACATGATCGATGGATCAACTCACTGACGTTATCAGCTCAATGACATGCGAATTATGATAAATATGTTGTTTTCTATGTTATATAAAGTACAGATACTTCGCCCCCACTTCATTGTAAAGTCCTGCTTGATAACGATACAAGAATATGCAACAAAACGTTGCACTCACGACATAAAGAAGTTGTTATCCATAAAGTTCGTCTATATTGTACTTTACGAAGGCCCATTATACAGTACATTGTACAATAGATACAAATATTGATGGAGCGCCGCACAGTCGGCAGGTGATATAATAATCCTGGTCAAGTTGGTGACAGAAACAATCTACGTTTCGTCATTGCAAGAAATATATACTTCCCTAGACATTAAATTATACGAACATTGTCTGATGTTAAAAGTAGATATGGATTATGTTCTGATGGAAATTGCCGATGATATCTTGGTAATAATGATTGTCCTAATTCGTTATAAAATGGGCACTGATGTGCAAAATGGGCAAAATGTAATTTTGTTTCTACAGCTGGAACAATACATAACGGACACATGCGACCCTCTCTTTAACCCCAGTTTCCGCCCCATTTCAGTCATTAAGCAGTGATTAGAACATCTGAGAAAACAAAGTGCAGAGCGATAAATCTTCACTGATATACTAGATAGACAACTTTCAAAAACCACAGCAGTTTTAACTGACCGATATAAAGATAATTAAGAGCACTGACTTAAACTTTCGGACCACCGCTGGTTATCAATATCAGCACACCTCTGCTTGTACGATTGAACGAAGGAAGGGATGCTGTTAACCCGTTGATCGGTCAACACCAACCCAAATCCATATTCAAAGAGAAGAGTTTTAACTCGAAAAGCCCAACAATCAATACCCTTGTTCGCTATACACTCTTCATACTGACAAACATGATGTAGTACAACATTATTATCTTGATAGAGTAATCTAACCCAATACTTAATAATCTTGACATAGTGATTAACCTTGATGGAATATCGCCCAAGCTTTCCACGAGCTACAATATTAGGAGTTGATCTACTGAGATGTAGTAGGTGTTTCCAAAATCTATTCTGCCGGATGGAATCCCCAGATTTCACTGCCATATGTAAGCACAGGTAAGATTTTGACATCAAAAATATGAAATGAAACATCAAATGGTAGGTTATCAAACCGAGAGATCTTAGACTTCAAACACTGCAAGACTTTGAAACCTTGTTGAGCAAGAGTTTTCTGAGTCATATACCAAGAACCCGAGCTAGCCAAATGAACACCGAGATATTTGTATGTAGTAACCACTTCTAGGGATTTACCATTAAACCTGAACCTCTCATAGGATCTGAAACACCCCCCTTTCCTGAAAACAATTACAGTACTTTACTTTTATTATTATTGACAAGGAGTTGCCAATTATTACAATACAGACACAACTTGTCTAGTCTCCTTTGTAGTCCTTTAACAAAGTTAATCTGCAAAAAAGTAAGATAAATAGCTTCACTCAAGAACTGGACAATATCGTTAATAAAGAATGAGAACAATAACGGCGAAAGCTGGCATGCCTGGCGAACCCCATATGCACAATCAAAGAAGTTTGTATATCCACCACCAAGAGAGACGCAAGCTTTCACATGTATATACATATTACTTATTAACCTGTACATTCGACCTTTAATGTTGCCAACCCAAAGCTCATATAGCAGACTTGTACGCGAGACAGAATAAAAAGCAGCCATAAGATCAATGAAGGCACAATATAGCCTACCCCGATATAACGACAGGTACTTTGTTATGATAGCATTAATTATGAAAATATTATCGACAGTTTGGTAGCCTTTCCTAAACCCAGCCTGTTCTGGTTTCATACTATTTTCATGTCTCACCGAATGGTCTATATTGTACTTCCCAACTTTTAAAATGCCACAGTGATTCAACGAAGGTTTGTGAAGAAACCATTTTGACCACGGACGTAAGACAAATTGGCCTCGACATAACTCACTTAAAATCTCAACTTGATACCACGATTGAGCAGTTATTTTTAACGTTTTCGCTAATATGTATCGACTATTCATGTAGGTATTGCCAGTATGACATATGCTATAGTCGTTAAATGTTGAGGAAAGGAATATATTCCGTTCATAAACTACCTGGGCAAATCCAAAAGGAAAAGCAGGGTCCGTTTCACCTTCTGAAGCAGCTCCAAATTTCTGTCTCCAGTCTTGAATCATAGCTGGGAACTGGCATTGATATATCTTTGGTACGTCGCCCTCACCTGTAAAACATGGTAAAGTACAAATACCAGTTTGTAAAGTGTTGTTCTTACTTGTTGTTCTAACTAAATATATACGTACCCGAGAAGATCCGGGTAAGAATTGGTTTTCAGTAACCCGTGCTTGTCGTAAGAGGCAACTAACGCTGTCATCGATGCTGGATTGTCTTGTCAAGACTCGACTATTTACAATCTGCCGCCATATAGCTGAAATAGTGCTAAGTGCGACGTTAAACAACAAACCAATCAACTGGTATATATGTGCCGAAGGTATACAAAACTAGGTCGTCAGCACCGAACCCGACAGAACACATTGCACTGAATGAATGTACATGTATTATTTTGTGTTTCTTTAAAATAAAAATTACTCGTTTCAGGTCATTTGGTACATCACACACTTTGATACAAGATTGCTAAACAAATGTCATATCTAACAGTGGATTGGTTAGGACATTAAATGCAATGTGCGTAGCTCCTTGAAACTTTGATATATCACATACCTTGGTACAAGATTGCTCCAAATATTGTCAAGTCCAACAGTGGATTGATCATGGCATTCCACGCCGCACTTTTATTCTTTGGTCCGCTGGAATGCATCAACAGTATTCATTATTTGTTTTGTATGTACTTAAAAGGTTTGGTCTATGTTAGTTTTAATATGCCACGATTAACAGCTGAAGAGAGAGAAAGAGCTATTGGGATGGTGCAGATGGGGTCAATGTTGTTGCCAACGCCCTCGGATGCCACCGTATCACGGTTAGAAGACTTATTCAGCGCTACATAGAGACTGGGGTCACCATAGACAGACCAAGAAGTGGACGTCCACGCATCACAGCGATAGCTAAAGATAGGTACCCCCGTCATTAAGGAAAGAGGGTAACGTTTCTTTTGGTGTTTAGTGTATTTACAAAAGGACTGACTGTATATTTGTTTTGTCCACCGGATATATCTATTGGATATTCTGGGAGTAGCCATGTTTGGAAATTCAGAGTTATCTTCCTTGGTAGTAGTACTAGACTATTTTCATCTCCCTGCCCGTTTGCGCTTAGACAGGGCCCAGTCGTAAACATGGCCACTAGAGGGGTACGAGACGCCATCCGGCTTGCCGGAATGACACGAGTAGTTACGAATGATGTGCATAGTTAGTGATTGGCAGTGGTGTGTCATATTTCAGTCCTTCCCGGATTCCGCGATGAATTTGTAAGAATTCCGCGAGAAATTTCAGTAATTTCTGCAACCCATTTTTCAGAATTCTGCAAACAATTCGGCAGTTAAAAACTTGAAAAACAACAACAACAACATAATGAAATTTCAATCTTCAAAAAGATCGATTTTGTGAAAACAAGTCAGTGTCAAATTCAAATAATATTATTTTAAGTTGCTTAAGAAAAGATTACCTTATGAATAAATCATCTTTATTTTGAAAATATCGTTATAACAAATGTCTCAGTTCGTTTTTGTGTAACCAATCATACATTTGTTATTGACCCCTATTTGTCGGTTCGGTTGATGGTCAAGCTTGATTCAACTTTTAAAATAAATAAATTTCGCGGCAGAAAAATGGCAAATTCTGCAAGTATTCTGTATGAAAATGCGTTTTCCGCGGAGCAGACGTTTTTCTGCATCAAAAGGTAATTTCCGCGATTTATTCTGCAACCACAGAATTGCGGAATCAAGGAGGGTCTCATATTTAGATAAAGTTCTGGAAGGTGGTACAGAATGCTACAACCCATCTGTCTTTTCCACTATATTCTGACCCATGGAGTTGGAGAATTTTCTGACGTTTTTATCACAAGTGTATAAGGGGAACTAACCCTTGTCTCTTTTCTCACATATTACGTTTCAAGTGAGTATGGTTTTACGCCGCTGTTAGCAATATCCCAGCTATATCATGGCTAGGAACACCAGAAATGGGCTTCACACATTGTACCCATGTGGAAGTCTAACCCTGGTCTCCGGCGTGACGGGCGAACGCTTTAACCACTAGCTTACACCACCACCCCTCAAGAAGTCCATCGATTGAGTTTTGAAAATATCGTTATAACAAATGTCTCAGTTTGTTTTGTGTAACCAATCATACATTTGTTATTGACCCTATTTGTCGGTTCGGTTGATGGTCAAGCTTGATTCAACTTTTAAAATAAATAAATTTCGCGGCAGAAAAATGGCAAATTCTGCAAGTATTCTGTATGAAAATGCGTTTTCCGCGGAGCAGACGTTTTTCTGCATCAAAAGGTAATTTCCGCGATTTATTCTGCAACCACAGAATTGCGGAATCAAGGAGGGTCTCATATTTAGATAAAGTTCTGGAAGGTGGTACAGAATGCTACAACCCATCTGTCTTTTCCACTATATTCTGACCCATGGAGTTGGAGAATTTTCTGACGTTTTTATCACAAGTGTATAAGGGGAACTAACCCTTGTCTCTTTTCTCACATATTACGTTTCAAGTGAGTATGGTTTTACGCCGCTGTTAGCAATATCCCAGCTATATCATGGCTAGGAACACCAGAAATGGGCTTCACACATTGTACCCATGTGGGAAGTCTAACCCTGGTCTCCGGCGTGACGGGCGAACGCTTTAACCACTAGCTTACACCACCACCCCTCAAGAAGTCCATCGATTGAGTTGAGATAATTTTGACCATGGATATACAGCTTAGACCATAGTTGCTGTGAGGTGAATATTACCAACATCGTCTTTATTGCTATAATTCATCAAATTCTTTTTAAGGGCTGATTTCTGGTTAACTATTGTATTAATTGTAACTAGAGTGTCAGCAGGTAACAACGTAATTGTCGTATTACTTTTCAAAAAGCGAAGCAATATCACACCTCACTTGATGTTCGGGGCAATTTGCTAGTGCATCAGGCGAGGACCATGTTTCAATAGGAGTTCCTCCCCATGCTGATTCGACTAAGCCTATTGGGTAGATCCTGTGTGGGTAGAGGTATTCGCCGAACAACCAGCAAAACTGCAGAAAAACTGGACACAGTATCTGAAGCACAGTAATATATTTCTAAAGAAATGAATATGATGAGACACAATATGGCTTCTTTGTTGTACACTGTTCAGGACGTCCAGGTGTATGTATCACCTTTATCAAGCAAGTAATAAAAAGTACTAGCGGATTCAGCTGTAATATATAACATTACCTGTTCATTCATATAATTAGCTTTGACACAAACAACCTTTAACGTTAACAGTACAATTGTAGTACTGTTTTAAGTATTGATCGTAAGCTTCTAACAATTATTAGAAAAATGAATGCTCTCTATATTGAATTTGCGTAGTAGTACACATAATACATTGTATAACTGTATGATCTGTCATATAAACTCATAGAATACGGTTATAATTCTATGCACATATCGCATTACTTACAGGCATACATTTTCAGACGATATACTGCTGAGTTTACAGTTTGAAACATTTGCAAAGGTGTTATTTGCTTTCATTTGTCTTGACGTTTCAGCTTCATTTGTCTTGATGTTTTAGCAGCAGGTTAATCTCATCCCTCGCGAGTCATCCATACACTGAGAAGATATTTATACAACCTACTTAACAGTCCAACGCAATACTTAGCGGAGTTGTTAATTGCTGTCATTTCCAAGGACAGTGACGCTTACTTCATGCCGTATATAGTCATACATAAATGTCTGGTCTTCTTGTGTTATGAAATTTCAAATGACTATCACAGACGTGACAGTGTGTTTCATTAGGTTTATAGCTGATTCTATGACACTGGCTATTTGTTGCCAGTTATTTTTATTAATCAAAGTATAAACAGTGATAGCTATCGTATATGTTGTGTGTTCATGACATGGTGAATCACCTTCTGTGGGTGCTGTACACGGTGTTGACACATTCTCAAGGTCTTCGATTGGTGAGAGCGATTCAACTAGACCAGCTTTAAATATCCTGATATTCTTGAACTTCAAGGCTTCGGAAATTTCAGCTGATGCGTTTATGACCTACAAAAAGCATGTACTTCTTACGACAAACAAATCCTAACGTGGCTAAAAGATTAAAATATTGACAGTAGTTTTCATGATCTGCTTTAGGAGATCTGGAGGGACCAAACCAAGAGCCTGAAGACAGTGTACGTGAAATGGTCGCGAGCCATTTTACAGGCGAGGTCCGCATATTTAGCATGCTTTTCCTGAATCTTGCCAGTCACGTCACTGTCAAAGGGGACAGAAAATTCAGTGACATAAATAAATTCATTGGCTTCATAAAAAGGGATAAATAAATAATTTTATCATCATTGTTATACGTAGTAGTAGTAGCAACAAAAGTATTAATGGTAGCATTAAATTAGTAGTACTAGTAGTAGTATTGATATTAGTAGTATCTATAACATGATTACAACGGTTCGTATATACATACTTGACTGCAGTCCGTTTGAGTCAGAAACGGACCGATGAATTGCAAATTTTATCATTGTACAAATTGCCACATAAATATAAATAGTACACATGTTTATCATTTACTAATACCCAACAGCTTTCTTATATTTGAAAATTTTCCGGACTCCACCAAAAAGTTCTTTGAGAAACTATCATTAAAATTTTGACACAGTTCACTATTTGTTACGAGGGAGGAGTGCAGAGAAAGGGACAGCCAGGTGTTAGAGAAGCACGTGCACAAGTGCCCAGCAAGTTATTGATTCATTAGCCTGTGCTGTGCCGTCTCTATCCTTTCTCGCACACCTAGCTGCCCCTTTCTCTGCACTCCTCCCTCGTAACAAATAGTGAACTGTGTCAAAATTTATGATATTTTTTTAAAGAACTTTTTGGGTGGAGTCCGGAAAATTTTCAAATATAATTGGAATGAAACTATACTTCCTTTGGCAAGTATTCAAACACGAAAGAAAGAAAGAAAGAAAGAAAGAAAGAAAGAAAGAAAGAAAGAAAGTAAAGAAAGAAAGAAAGAAAGAAAGAAAGAAAGAAAGAAAGAAAGAAAGAAAGAAAATAAATAAATAAATAAATAAATAAATAAATAAATAAATAAATAAATAAATAAATAAATAAATAAATAAATAAATAAATAAATAAATAAATAAATAAATAAATAAATAAATAAAAAAATAAATAAATGAGCACGCAAGCAGAGCAAGCCAGTAAGTTATTAAGTACATAAATACCTGAAAATATTAACAGGAATACCAAAACAGGCTTCATGTTTGTCTTGTTGTAAAGAGTCAGCCTCGGGGTCTTTAAAGCCATTGACTGGGGTCACTGTAGATAAGGGTTTCTATATCTGCTTGAAATGTTGTACATTTTGCTCTACTTGTTGGTTTGCCCTTGCGACCCTTGTGTGTAATTCTGCTACATCATCGTGCTTCTCGAGGTTGTCATTCCCAGTCTTTCTGGAAAATTTCTTTTTTTACACTTTACATAAACAATGCAGATTGATATTGTTCAGAAAAGGCAGCAGTGTGTGCTTCTGAAATTATTTCACCTTCCTGTCATGCACTCCTTTACTTGTCTACCATATTCTCCATCTCTTTATAAGCTTATTTACTTTGATGTGATGGCGTTCATCCTCGCCCAGCCTTTATTATACATTAATAAACGTAATGTAAAAGCATTAAAGATAAAGTAGGTCTGATTTACAATTTCATATGGTGGCATTTGTACATTTACGTCTATAATCAACAAGATTGAATCAAACGGATGGTTTTGTGCATTACGCCTTAACGAACACGGGTCAAGTTTCATGGATAAACAAAATCAACATTCTCCCGTCACTCATGGCGGTATCTGTGCAATACGTCAGATGAAGGAAGCGCCCGACAAATATTCCAGTCATACATATGTACAGCCATTGTTTGGGCATATTCTTGATTATCAATAAATTCGTTTTGAAAATGTTATTCATTTTATGTTTAAGAAGATAAGTGAAATAACTAAAAAATGCGTAATTTTGTACTATTAGATACAATTTAACTTCGCGTCGATAATGTCCCAGAGGTCAGACTATCAGTTTGCAATCCTATGTCAGCGTACTACGTCAGTCGATGAAAGATCCGTTAAACTTTTCTACTGCTTCGTGGACGTGCATCTAAACAAACTGGAGAAGCAGCAGCTGCTAAATGTGTGACTGACATTCTTAAATTACACACCAGGCCTTGCCTCCCCTGGGTGCCGTCATACAAAACAACCTTTGCGCTAAGGCTACCCCAAGTCTATGGGCGTTACGGTCACCTTAGTGCTAAGGTCGCTTTGGAGAACGGCACCCTGGTGTGTACCTATTCCTAAGGGCACATCAAGCCTGCATTATTCCCTTGCTGTTTTTTCTGCGATGGAAGACCTTTTCTCGTAATTTGTAAACAGGAATACCAGTCATGAAAAACAGCCCATGTTATGTATATCAAACGGAGTATGCATGACTTGAGTGGTATATGATAGATACAGATGGCAATAGGAGATTTAGGGCAAGTAGCAAATGCATGGTGTAAGTCCATCCATGTTATGCATGGTAAACGGGACATGCATTGGCTTGAGTGGTTTATAAACTAATGGGCAAGAGGAAGTGATCACGTTTAAAGTAATTGTATAATTACAAAAACAAACTCTGGTACAGGTTTGAATACATCGCAGCTGTCCGAAAACATCGTGCTAATCGTTCATTTTTCAAAACATGAAAATTTAATTGTGGGACATTTTGGGTCATATGAACGAGCATTTGTGGCATAAATACCGATGTTGAACACAGCAAGCATGCAGTAACTAAAATCCCACCACGAACATGCTAAGACTTAGACCCCGAGACAGGGCGATCGTGGCTTCACAGCGTCATGTGACAAGAACCGTCAACTGCAGCCAGACTACCATCAACTTTATAAACCGCTACCAGCAAACAGGCCAGAATCCAAGACCGCCCGAGATCGGGAAGACCAAGAGTCACGACACCGGCCGAAGACCGCTACATCCGGCAGATCCATCTCCGGAACAGAATCGAGACGGCGACAGCACTGGGACACGACATCAGCAGATGAACAGTCCTTCGACGACTTGGTATGGCTGGTATACGAGCCTACCGCCCCTTCCGTGGAATGACCTTGACCAGTCTACACCGTCAACGCCGATGGAAGCAACGTAACTGGGAGTGAGTGCTCTTTACAGATGAAAGTCAGTTCAGTCGGTTCAGAGACGATGGCAGAGTTCGATTTGTCGACGAAGAGGAGAGCAACTGGCGTCAAAATGCGTTCAAGTTCACCCGTTCGATGGATTAGTCTTTTTTTTCTTTTTTTTCAATATTTTGTACAGGCATACATTATAGGACCATACAGGTAGGCAGCAAACAGTACATGGTGATTCATCTGAGGTACATAATATGTAGAGACATATACACAGTATTTCAGATTAATATAGATCTATCCTAACAACAAGTGTAATGTTGACCAGAATTGAAAAAAACATTTGTTCAGTACCATTTGATAAATGGAGATATTTGGTAGCATCATAATGCTTAATAACTTCTTTTTTAATAAAATCGATATTAGTAAAATAGTTTCCAGAAGCACATTTGAATATATTTTGTTTTACTAGAAGGATGATTACATTTATAGAATTATTATTTTCACCTTTAATTCCAAACAAAACCTTTTCAAACGTAAAGTTTACTGATAGTTGAACAGCATGAAGCCATTTTGTTACTTCGTTCCATATTTTCTTTACATGCTCACATTTCCAAAAGAGGTGGTCAGTAGTTTCTAGATCTTTTTGACAAAAGGAGCAAAGTGGTGATTCTATGTATTTTATTTTATAAAGAAAAGATTTTGTTGGTAAAATGTTGTGGATAATCCTATATTGTAACCACCTAAGTTCAGTACTTTTAGTACATTTGTTTGGGATAATGTTGTAAATCATCCATTCTTTGTCAGTGAAATATCTGTCTAAAACACGTTCCCATATTTGGAATAGCATGGTAGCACGATCAAGGATGAACTCAAAAGAGTATTATATAACTGCTTATTTCCCGCAGAATTATTGAATGATTGGTAATCAAAGGGAAAGATGGGATTTTGCAGCGGTTCTGAAAAGTCGTAAATTTTATGTTTGTGTGTGTATGACCTTAGTGCTGCTTTGATTCCTTCAAATGTTAGAAAATTGTTTTTTATTTGATATTTTTTCGACAATTCTTCGAAAGTTAATCACCTACCTTCCTCATGTATAATATCATTAACAAAGACTACACCTTTAGTCTTCCAGTTTTCATACATTATCGGTTTGTCATCAATAGTTATGATGGAGTTACCCCAGATAGTTTGACTTTTAATTTGGTTAAATCTGAAACATGCTTTCTGTAATTTATCGAGTAGTGATTTTGGTGGATTGGGAAGGGCTGAGAATAGATGAATTTAACGTGAAAGTAGAGGGGGTTTTAAAATAGTATTTCTGCCAAAAGGAGATAACGAACGCGTTGACCAAATATTAATTTGTTTTCCGATTTTTTCAATTTTGTCCCTATAATTATCTTCAATCATGGTTTCAAGATCAATATTAAAGTTAATTCTCAGAAGACTAAAATCTGTTTGAGACCAATCAAAGTTGTATTCTTTACATAGTTTGTAACGTGATCTCTTTTTTGAACCAATCCAAATGAGTTTTGTCTTGTCAACGTTTACCTTTAAACCAGAGCGCGAGCAAATATTTGCAAGACGTTCAGAACTGAATAGAGGCTTTTTTCGGATCCATCTAACGTAGGAGTAGTGTCATCAGCAAATTGCGACAGAATTATTCTATGTTACCGATACTAAGTCCTTTAATTTTATCATTGTTACGTAGCATTATACCTAATATTTCCACACATAGAATATACAAGTATGGTGCAACAGGATCTCCTTGGCGACACCCACGTTCAATCGTAAAAGGTTGTGTAGCAAAACCATCGAACATAATCCTAGATTCTATATCATTATAAAAAGTCTGAATCCATCTAATAATACTTGAACCAAAGTTAAAAAACGATAGTACATGTATCAAATAATTTCTATCAACTGAGTCGAATGCTTTTTCAAAGTCTACTGATAAAAGTAGTCCTGGCATTTGATAGGTCTCTGTGTGTTCCATTAGATCATAAATCAATCTAGTAACTTCGCCTATGAATCTCCCTTTAATCAATTTTTGGTCTTCATTAATAATACTTGGCAAAACTCTTTTAAATCTATTAGCTATTGCTGCTGAACCAATGTTATAGGAAGTAATCAATAGTGATAAGGTCGCCAATTTTTAAGGAATTTCTTAGGCTTATTCCCCTTAGGGATACACATTTTAAGACCTTGCTTTTGGGTGATTGACAAGTTGCCTTTATTATATCCGTAATTTAGTGATTTTAACAGAAAGGAGCCCAGGTCTTTCCAGAAGAATTTTAGAAATTCCGCAGTAAAACCAACGGGGCCAGGATTATTTTCATTTTTCATTCTTCGTAATGCTATTGACAGTTCGGATAATGTTATAATGATGGATGCCCAACACTCTTGAAACATCAGCTGATCTATATCCATCATTTATCATATTGATTATGGCCTGTTTTGTGCCATTACTCATCTCTGTTCCGTGCCCGGACATAGTTGTTATTGTTAATGTCTCACAGCGAAGCAGACGACAAATCAACTTCCGGAATTGCGTACACGAAAGTGGATGACGGGAAGTGATATAAACTATAAAAGACGGGAAAACCCTGACGCTACCAAGAGATGCGACGCGAAATCAACACGTCTTCAAATTCATCGCTTTCCACTGATCGGTAAAAATTGAAACAATTTTGGCACATGAGTGTAGGTACATCGACATCCTTGAAGTAGTCAGTCAAGTCTATCTGACTATTGTTTGGGGCTGTATATAATTTTTCATAGAAAAGTTTTGTTTCGTGTTGTGTTGTATTGCATCATTATCTGTAATTATTGTTCCGTCAGATTTTACTACCTCTGATTGCTTTGTTTAGAAAGTGTCTGGATTCGAGTTTGAGGAAATATCTGCTTGGTTTCTCACCGTGTTCAATCCATTTTGCTTTCGACCTTATCGCCATTCCTTTAATCTTAATATCATTGATATCATCCAAATAGTTTTTAATTGTATTAATTTTTTCCAGTAAAGTTTGTATTTCAGCATGATTGTTTGATAAATCTACACTTTCCTCAAGATTTTCTAACTCATGCTCTAGCGATTTCTCTTTTTTTGCACGTATTGTCTTTTGGGTACAAGAATAATAAATTGTTTTACCTCAAATCATCAGAAGTAAAGTCTCCCATAATAATTTGTCATTTATGGGGTTTTTGGAGGGAATGTTTTCATCTTCTACTTCATAATCCTTGAGCTTTGTTTTAATAGTTTCCTTTATAAGATCGACGTATTTTCTGTCCTGTAAGAGAGAATTGTTAAATTTCCAAAAGTCTGCTCCCCGACTTAAACCGGAAGTAGAGAGGGACAATTCTATTAAAGAGTGATCTGAGTGTATACTCGGTGAAATGTTAACGTAGTTAACTGATGGCATCAAGTCATGTGATATCAAGAAAAAATCTAGTCTCGCCTGTTTCAGGGGGTTTGGTTGACGCCATGTGTATCTGTTGCACTCGTAGTTAGCTTCTCGCCATGGATCCTTAAGATCAAAGGCATCAATAAGTTCCATTACCTTTTTCCTAGCTTTTGTATTGTTTTCGTGCTAATCGTTGGTTTAACACCAGATTCCAATCACCACAAAGGCATATTTCATCACTATCAAAGTCCATAACCATTTTAATTATATTATCGTAGAATTCTGGTGCATCGTTATTTGGCCCGTATATGGTAATAACTGAATATGTAATTTCATCTTTGAGGATTTTTAAAGCCACATAGTTACCATCCTCATCGAGTTTGGGCATCAGTACTTTGAAGCTGAAATTATTATTACACCTCGAGCATTGGAGGTGTAAGTACTTACATAATATTCACTGCAACCCCACTGTTGTTTTATTAGGTTGATGTGCTCAGATGTGAAGTGCACATCTTGTAAACAGTATATATTGCCTTTCTTCTTTTTTAGAAAATTAAATACCTTTTTCCTTTTGGAGCTATTACCTAAACGATCTGCAGTTATATGATAATACCTTTAGCTTTTCCATTTCACATGATAAAATCTACCAGTTTTCCTTGAGAAGTGCATAAGAATTTGTCGGATAGTTGTTAGATATAGAAAGCAATGAAAATCATTTAACATGTAGCACTGTTGCTGGTAACTTGTTGTCAGACATTCTAGATAGTTATAAGGGTATGGCTGTATTTTGCACGGGAATGATATCGTTCCGATCGCGGTTCGATGGAGCAGTCGTCATGATATGGGGCGGCATTTGTGGCCAGAGAACAACAAGACGGGTTATCATCCGAGGAAATCTGAAAGCCCACCGATACAGGGACGAAGTGTTGAGACGTTTTGTGGTGCCTGTTATTCGACAAGAGGAGCCATTTTGCAGCACACCCGGTAGAATTGTTCGTTGATACCTGCACAACGTTAACGTCAACGTATTGCCTTGGCCAGCGCATTCTCCAGACATGAACCCCATCGAACATCTCTGTGATCATCTTGATCGTCAGCTGAAACGGCGTGTACCACCTCCAGCGAACCGACAGGAACCAGACTCTCTTGGACTAATGAAACAGGATTTCTGCTGACATCATCCGCCGACTGACGACGTCAATGAGAAGACGTGTGTTGGCGTGTAGGGATGCCCAGGGTGGTCACTCTCGCTCTTGATGTCGTGTTCCCTGACTCCTGTCTCATTATGTGACTCTTTATGCACTTTTTGAAAGAACTCTGAGTTGTGTAATTTTTCATTTAGACCCCTTGACTCTTTCTTAACGCATTGCGGCAAATGCAAGACTAGCATTACAATGAATTTTCAGTCACATCATTGGAAAGTGCATTTTGTTTGTAATACTTATCATAAACGTCACAGATTTGTTTCTATTTTGTGGTCAAGTGAAGTCGGTGATTACTTTGTGCGCTGTTTAGTGGTTGTGCGGTCAAAATATATTCGTGACAACCATGGCAAAGAGGACAGGCTTTGTCCGAACAACCTATATACGATATGGTAAACAGGATGGACATGATGTGCAGGATCTGAATGATATTATTGTATACACGATACACATAGTAAACAGGATATGCACGACATAAGAAGGATGCATGATAAGCTTAACGCAAGGCGACATTGTAAACAGGAAACAAGAACAGCAGACCATGCATGGGTAAAACAGTACATGCGGTGGCTTGATATACAGCATATGCTGGTTTGTTGGTTAACACCGCATTCCAGCTATATGGTGGCGGTCTGTAAATAGTCGAGTCTGGACCAGACAATCCAGCACAACAGCATGAGAATCGTTCCACGCAATTAATATATTGGGATACAATGGCATGTGTCAGCCAAGTCAGCGAGCCTGACCACCCCGTCAGTCGCCTCTCACGACAAGCATTGGTTATCGAAGATCAATTTTAACCCGGATCTTCACGGGCTACAGCATATGTATGACATGTATAGCACAAAGAGTATGCATACTAAATGAAAGAGAGCAGTATGTATGATACGCATGTCTCACACATCGAAGACACTTTGGTGACATGCACAAACACGGGTGTAGCTGACATACCATTCATCATAATCGGATCTTATCTTTAACTCATTTTGGGCGGTGAGGTAGCCCAGTGGTTAAAGCGTTCACGTCGAAAACTCGAGTTCTGATTCCCTAGATCGGTATGTAGCAGGGCATGGAGTCATCCCACTGATGACATCCTTACCATGTCAGCTTGCTGATGGGGTTAACCTCTTTGGTCATGTGGACAAGGCGTCCGACTTCTGATCAGAAGGTCCTTGGTTCGAATCCCAGCATGGGACTCGGAAATTTTATGGCCGCTACATTGGCGCCCAACGTTTGGCTGAACATGTTCATATCAAAATGGAGCAAAATAAGTCTCAGTACCCAACTATGCGGCTCGGGACGTGCCTTCCGTTGACGGGGGAGTATGTAGCAGGGCGTGGAGTCATCCCACAGATGACATCCTTACTTTGTCAGCTTGCTGACGGGGTTAACCTCTTTGGTCATGTGGACAAGACAAGGTCCGTGGTTCGAATCCCAGCACGGGACTCGGAAATTTTATGGCCGCTACAGGTACAATTCGTGAACCCATTTCTGGTGTCCCTCGCCGTGATATTTCTGGATTATTGCTAAAATCAGTGTAAAACTAAACCTCACTCACTCACTGACTCACTCTTCAACTTATTTAACTGTGTTTGTGTGTGTTCGCTTGCGAGTGTGTGTGTGTGCATCTCTACTTTTACGTGCGCGTACGTGTGCGTAGGTGAATGTGCTAATTCGTTTTACATTTACATGCCCTTGTGCCTCTGTAAAATTCACAAAGAATGCTGATCACATACTGAATTTAGCTCGCCGATCAAACCAATGCGATTTATGCAACAACGAAGCTACCGAAATACAGTACGGTAATCACAAATATAATGCTATTATTACACTGAGGCACATTTGACCAATGCTATCACCTGGCTGACAGTAAAGACGGCCACTGACGACAGTACCCCAGGAATAGAATGAGTATCAAAGAAATTGGATATACCATTGTAATGAACTACCTTGTCCATCGACATTTATACATTACAATGTACCCCGTAGAGACCTAATTGCCCATTTATTTCTCCTTAACCTACTTTCCCCAACGGACTCTCGTCCGCTCTTCGGTAGTCAGTTATCAGCACACAGAGGCATGGCGTTACCAGCAGTAGGCTGAGGATTTACTTTATGATGGCAGACATGTTTGGACAGTTCATGAACTGTCTGTACTCTTAGCTGAGAGAGTTGACTGAAAAGTCCTGAGCCTAACAAGGAAAGATGCTCATATTTAACAGATTACATGTATAACGTAAAAGTACTTTCATGCTTAGAATGTGCTTTTCAACCATGTACATAATTAGGTGGCATATTTCTACAGGTTTCGTAGTACAAGACGTCTTAGTATAAGACTAAGTATACTACGTGTATACCTCGGTGCTGTCATCAAGGGTCAACAGTCTCCCAGGCGGTCATTGTGTCAACTTCAGGGAAGGATGCTCCTACCATTGCCGCTTTCAACACGTTGAAGAGGGTAAGAAAGAGCCATGACGATGTTTCATGATCAGGAAGACCTTCAACTGCCACCACTAAGAAAAATGTTGATAAAATAATGTTGATATAAAATTATCGATGATCAACGACCCACTACTCATCTCAAAACAATTGTAGTGCCATTCTCATGGGCGATTCAATATCATACTGGGAAACGAACTGCGCAAAGGTTTCAGCACGCTTGGTTCCAGACACGCTTGGTTCCAGACCTTCTTACTGTTGATCAGAAACGCACCATGTTTCTGATCTCGTGAGAATTAAAATCTCCGAGAAAGCAAAATCTGTTTTACCAGACAGTGGGATGATTTGGCCTTTTTTGGAATTAGAAAAAAACAACTTACAGGCGGGTTGCCTCCCGAAAGATGAGACCATTAGTCGTGCAATATTGTCGTAATATCTCCAGGTAACTACTTTAGAATTTCAATTTTAAAAGCAGTGAAAAACAGAACGCGTGTTGCTCTACCAGAGCAATGCAGACTACTGTTCTCGATTTATTGTCTATCCTTCATGAAGATACTCCTCCATGATGATACACTCCAAAACAAAATATACAAAACAAACATCAACGAAAAACACACGCATCCAGAACTTTTCAAGCTCAAATGTTTTTACTGTTTTGATTGTTGTTTCGGCTTAGGCTGGAAGTGTTGAACCCAGGTTTTCATTCATTTCAAAAACCCTTCTGGGTCGGCAACAAACAGACCTTGATGATCTCGCTACATGTTGTGACTTTTATCAGATATCAGATGCTTTGTAACCCAATAGGCTGATACTTTCTTCATTGCGAAAGCTTTTGTCATAATGAAATGTACATTCCTCTGGGAATTGCCTTCCGAACTATCAGCTTTACGCACAGCCATCACCATATCGCTGAGTCACCAGATCACCTTCCGGGTCCGGGGTCCTCTGTAAGCTCTTGCTACGTTTATATTCTGATGCCCACTCTTTACAGTGGTATAGAACGCTGATCCTAACTTTGTTCTCATAATGTAGCCCATGTTCTGCGAGCACTTCAGCAGCACACGATCCCCTGGTGTGTCCATTTATTAACACCGCCAGACAATTGTGTTCAACTATTGCTTATCAACATACCTCTATATCATGTAATGACCACAATTAAAGATTTCAGCATTACGCAACTGATGCCTCCGAGGCTCAGAACGTATCAGTCAAACCTCTTATTTATTGTCTCATTAGTCAAATGTGTGCACATTTAAAAAACCCGGCTAGTTTCAAACAACTGAAACATTCAACTTTACGTATAGATTTAACATTCCTGGATCCGATAAGTGCAGCCTACCGTTCTCGATTTATTGTCTATCCTTTATAACGATAGCCCTCCAGGATGATCCACTCCAAAACAAAATATAATCTAAAAGGACTCTTATCCTATTTCGTCATTTTCCCCCCCAAAAAAGGCCAGAAATCCCAAATATGTTCGTGGCGTATTTAGTGTAACCTGGTCTTTTATCTGAGCCATCAACAGGTGGTGGCGAAATGCTTCTTGCCCAAGATGTCTCTTAAGATATGAAATGTGACACTACTGTCTAATAGTACAGACTGATAGTCTTCGGATGACCAGTGGATGAGAGACACGTGTCAATATATCGGGCTGAGTCACGTTGATTGTCGGTCAGCTATAGTAGGATACTATAACTTACCTGGTCTTCAGACAATGACTACAGATAACACGCCGCCTCATGATCAGTTGTCTTGTGACTGGAGCGTCTGGCTGATCCCTGGATGCGTCGTAGCAGAAAACGTTAAAATAGTGTATCTTGCCACGTGTGCGAAATAGTTTCCAAATTTTGCAAATTTCTGAAATTTGAATGTAGAAACTAAGCAAAAGTTTACAAAAATTGATGATAATAAGATGCTCTCGGCATGACACGGGTTTCATCATTAAGCTACTGATATGATGAACATTTCTATCAGGCCATAAGTTTGCATGATTTAAAAGTGTGTTATAACTTAAAAAGTCGGAGAGAGTGATATATTTACAAAATGACCACATGAAAATTCACTAGCCAGTCGGGCCAGCGACTGTGGAGATTTACTGGCCCGACTTGATTTTTACTAGCCACGGGCTAGCGGGCCAGTGGCTATTTCGCACACTGATCCTTATTAAACTTAGGCATGATATCTAACTAGCATGGCACTAGAATGGCATTAGTCTTCTTTAGTACCCACTCACTCACGAGTTTCTGTCACATATTGTTTATCTTACGAGTTGTTAGTCGGGGGCATGGTGGGCGAGCTGGCTAAGGCGCCAGGCAAGTGATCCAGCGAGCATGAAGTGCCGGGATCGAGCCCACCTGTGACCGGGTGTAAAAACCTTGGAGTCAACTTTGTGTGCTGACTATTTCAGTGTTGTCACAAACAACCCCTAGTGTACAGTTCAGAACCCTGTGCACTTAAAAGAGCCCACGAATCCGTTGGTATATGACCAGATGGTGGCCACAGGAATACGTGCAAACACCTAGTTGCTGGAACAGCAACGTGCAGTAACCTTGGACAAAGTACTGTGACTATGTGTCCCAGTCCACCCAGCTGTGAATGGGTACCTCGTAAGGATGGGAAAGCCGCAATAACTCGGTGCGTCTTGTGGCAGCAAGAGTTGTATACTCCCCAGGGAGTTGAGATTGAAAACAAGATGTGCCGTTGAGACTGACATCCAATGATCGAGGGAAAAACTACCAGCGCCTTGAGCATGCACTAGTTGCATGGATATGTGCGCTATATAAATATCCAATAATAATAAAATAAAATAATTGTTTCTAAGCGTATCTAGCGTTCGAATGCCATTTTGGCCACAGGAGCTTGCAAAAAGCTGCATCAAGGTATGTACTGTATCCTTCTTCCTACATATACCTAGATGCTATATTTACGTCACAAGTCCCTGCGAGTATGACCAACATTCCCCTTAATTCAATAAATACAGTGCATCACATTGTTTACAAGCATGTTACAACATAAATGAAATAAGAGGTGTTTTTTAGGCCTTTATGGTTAAAAAGGGAATATCATCGTAAAAGATGATTGAAGATGTTTTTTACATGTGTATTTAAATCATATTATGTGTGCACTTCTGACAAAAGTATATTTTAGAATGTTAGAATGTATATTAGAATGAGTGAGTGAATGAATGAGTGAGTGAATGAGTGAGTTCAATTTTATGTCACTTTTAGCAATATTCCAGCAATATCACGGCAGGGGACACCAGACATGGACTTCACACATTGTACCCATGTGGAGAATCGAATCGGGGTCTTCGGCGTGACGAACTAACGCTTTAACCACTAACCTACCCCACTGCCCCAGATAACATGGATTGGCTTCATAAGCGAAAGTTACAAAACTGACACGTACTGACATTGTAATGTCACATGTATCAAGTTTGTATCAAAGAAAACCCTCAAGTCGTTAAGAAATTTCAATCGATGCGAGTAATCCGGATAACATACAAAGCAGGAACATTAGCGTTAGATGATTAATATTCATAAATGAATTATTGAGCTGAACGTTAAAAATATGCTTAGATAAACACACTTCTCTTTGACTCTATGTCACGTTTATGTTGGTAAAGCCTCTTGAGGGTTGATTTAATTGTGGCCACGTCGTTGCCTTTCCTAGACATTAATAATCTCCAAGGCAAAATATTTGCGTAATCATATTCCCAAAGAGGAAATGATGTTGAAAACGCTACTGAACACTATTATTGAGAATAGTGAGTGAGTGAGTTGAGTTTTACGCCGCACTCAGCAATATTCCCGCTATATGGCGGCGGTCTGTAAATAATCGAGTCTGGGCCAAACAATCCAGTGATCAACAGCACGAGCATCGATCTCCGCAATTGGGAACGGATGACATGTGTCAACCAAGTCAGTAAGCCTGACCACCCGATCATTACGAGTAATGTTACAAGGTAAGCACATGAAATCTGATGACAATATCAGAAAAATAACGATACAGGGATTGCCGCTGATTTGAATTTAATGTTCAGCTTAATGTGACAGGGCGGTGGGGTAGCCTAATAGTTAACGCTGGAATATTGCTAAAAGCGCCGCAAAACCATATCGACTCACTCATGGATCACTCACTTAATTTGACAGGCCGTTTGAGTTTGCGACTTGGAGAGACCATACATAAAATTGACCAGACCAATTGCAATTTATGATTGTGTTTAGGTCACAATTCTGGCGAAGTTTGGGCAGCGGAGAGTAGTGGGCTGGGTAAGCATGACTGGCACCTTGATCCCTGCGGGTTTCTTGGGTTTGGGTTCATTCTGACACTACAACACGTGTGACATGTGGCGCCTCCTCAGGGAGGTGATATTCCTCTATTCACCAAGCTGTAAATGGGTACCCGATAGGATTGAAATATAAAGTGATTGTTAACCCCTCATATGTGTTTGGATTGTGTACACCCTAGGGAGCTAAGAATGAAAATCGATTGCACGCTGGTCAACCGAATAGGCTAATGGTAAGATCTACCATGGCCTAATTTGATTATTAGCGTATTTGAGTTGTTCTAAGTTAGAGAGTGTGCTATACAAATTCATAGCATAACTCAATAATACCCACAGCGGGATTTCAACGCAACACTAGTCGTAATCTACTCAGTTGCAGCCTGTGTGTCTTGGATCCCAAAGCAGCCCATATCCTGAATGGCTGACTCTCCTGATAAGAAACTACACATTACCTGTATTATTCCATGCGTATCTTGATAGACAGCATCGTGCTAATGTATTCTAAAGATCTATAGCAAGTTGGCTTGTTTGTTCCGCGAAATTCCAACATTACTATTTAGTCGATCTGAGGCATCGTAACGTATTGATTTGTGTACTTCACATGAGACTCATTACTTTTCCTTGTTGCTGCGCCTGTTTTGATATGATGTACCTGGTAAATAAATAGAAGCAGTGTATTTTATCATCAGCAACTGAATCATATGTAGATGTGGTAGACGTATTATTATTAGTAGTATTATTAGTGATAGTAGTAGACTGACTGACTGAGTTTGGTTTTACGCCGCTTTTAGCAATATTCCAGCAACATCACGGCGGGGAACACCAGAAATGGGCCTCACACATTGTACCCTTGTGGGGATTCGAACCCGGGTCTTCGGCGTGACGAGCCAACGCTTTAACCACTAGGCTACCCCACCGCCCCGGCAGTAGTAGACGTAGTGCTAGACGAAGTAGTTGTAGTAGACGTAGTGCTAGACGCAGTAGTTGTAGACGTAGTAGTAGACGTAGTGCTAGACGCAGTAGTTGTAGACGTAGTAGTAGACGTAGTGCTAGACGCAGTAGTTGTAGTAGACGTTGATATAATGTACCTGGTGAATAAATAAAAACAATGTTTTATCATCAGCAACTGAATTAGATGTAGATGTAGTAGACGTAGTATTATCATTATTAGTAGTAGAGGTAGTAGTAGTAGACGTAGTGCTAGACGCAGTAGTTGTAGTAGACGTAGTAGTAACAGACATTGTAGGATACGCAGTAGTAGACGTAGTAGTTGTTGTAGACGCAGTGGTAGTAATAATAGAAGAGATAGAAGAAATAGTAGTAGTAATAGTAGTAGTAATAGTAGAAATAGTAGTAGTAATAATAGCAATAGTAGTAGTAATAGTAGAAATAGTAGTAGTAATAATAGCAATAGTAGTAGAAATAGTAGTAGTAATAGTAGACGTAGAAGTAACAGCCAAAGTAGAAAACATAGTAATAGACGTAGTACTGGTAGACGTAGTAGTAGTAATAGAAGAAATAGTAGTAGTAATAGTAGAAATATACTGAGGGAAAAAAATAAGGGATCATATGAAAGCACAAGTGTTCCGTTATTTGTTTCCAGTTTTCTTCACAAACTATGCGATACAAAGCTTGTGAAGAAACCTTCGAAAAAAAATAAAGGAACACTTGTGCTTTCATGTGATCCCTTACTGTTTTCTCTCAGTATAGTAGTAGTATCTGTTGTTATTGCAACTGATGTTGCAGTAGTGGTTGCAATTGCTGTGCTTGAATGGATTATTGCCAACAAAAGCCATACGACGTATCATGCACGTGAAATGAACCGTCATACTTGACAATATGGTGCTGTCTCCTTTTGTCATAGTCGAAAGCTGATTGTCATTAATCGATAGTGGATTTACTGTTCCGAAGTCAAATCTGACAAATTTGAGCTTCCTTGAATTCTCCGGATTTCGGATTAGAACTTGCAAAAATATACACGTTCATACATGTATGTCATGCTGTTGACGCTCCACATCCCCGAGTAGCCTATAACACATCTTGCTCGCCTACTGTACTTAAATCCAGTAGGTAAGTAATTCATCAAAATAGTAATAAAAGTAAGAACCTAAAAATAATTCTGACAAACTGACTGACTGAAAATGCCTCAGTACCTATAGCACGTGATCGAATGTTTCCAAATATGCTTCTTTTTGGTTGTTATGTTTACACATTTTCGTCTATCATCGAAGTAGACCCGTAAAGATCCGGGCTAGAATTGGTCTTCAACACCGCATGCTTATCGTAAGAGGCGACTAACGGGATCGGGTGGTCAGGCTCGCTGACTTGGATGTGTAGATGCTCATGTTGTTGATCACTGGATTGTCCTCCCTCGATTATTTACAGACCGCCGCCATATAGCTGGAATATTGCTGAGTGTGGCGTTAACAAACCAACCAACTAACCAACCAACCAATCTCGAAGTAAAGCCCAGTTTCACTGCGTGATAAAGGACGTTCCAACCTACTTGGTGGATAAATTAAATATTTTCATCCATGCTGTCCATACCCTATATCTCACAGTCGATCAACTAGCCATCATACCGCAGTCATCAAGCACAGTAGGAACTCTGGTCAGGTGATTGCAAGGTCACATAGGTAGGTCTAATCATGTTGGATGCGTTCAAATGAGCCAGACTCTTGGAGACAAGTGGCTGTCTGGATAGTTCAGGAAGACCCGAAAGGTCAAACGTGAGTAGATCATACGAAGTACCTTTGTTCCTTTCTCAATACTATTTGCAAACCAGCTGATATACATGACTCCAAAAACACCGCTTATTCCAGCTAATTAATACTCCTTCCAGTGTCACCTTCCATCTCAGTTCTCTGTGAGGATTTGTGTTTCTTAGCCGTCCAGAATACGAATCTCTCTTGTTACAATCACAGGTATTTGGTCAGTCAGTGGTTAGTGGGCTTCACCGGAGAAGGTAACACTTAGGATATGTCATCACTTTGGGCCTGCTGACAGTAGGTGAAGTGGTGGATTGGTTGCACCCCGAAACACAAACGATAAGGAAACACAAACATTTCCTCACCTTGTGTTGCTCATGACTCAGGGTGAAGGGACCACAGAAGACAGAACCCAACAATTTTGTTTTCTTGAAATTGAACTGGCATACCTGTTACGGTTACGTCTCAATATATACCCGTTACCAAATGTAATACAGTTTGCACCATCATAGTCTTTATCTGTCTGCCCTTTCTGCAATGCTAACGACCAAAATGAAGCAATTTCAGGTTCACGGGGCTCCTTTTCAATTTTAAAGGAATTGATGGTTTCTATAAACAATTACCTGTATTCAAAGAAACTTTAATCTGGCACCATTAAACCGTGCCTGTAATCATTTTTAGTTATATCGGTGGCATATATTTGAAAACAAAACCTAACAGAAAATGATTTAATTTCACAATGACATATAACATGTGAATATCCCCGCAGTCGTTAATAGCCCAGTCTTGTCGCACAGTCAGCATGGCCAAACATTTACAAACCTAATGCTTATGAGCTGCCCTTTATGACAATCATGGGAACTGGGACCTACCGTCTCCTGAAACTATCGGTACACTATCACACTGTTATACCAAACGCATGGCCGTCTAAAACAAATAGACTTGTCGATTTATTGGATTTCCGTATTTGACCGGTGTTTCTTCAGGCGAATGTTACCTGTTTGTGTGCATTTAGGGACAAATATCCAGATAGCTATTACTCGTGGCAACGTGTATAGCCTTACATGACAAAAGCATACAACATTCTGGTGTGGCACATACATTTGCTTTCTAGAACAGGTCCATGCTATTACCTCCCACGTCAGTGTAACGTAAATGTGACGTTAAGGGAAAATATAACTCAACTTCTACAGCTGCTGTATTTACATCATAGAAACGCCGGGACTTGAAGACACCATTATCGACATTTCTCCACAGGCGCTGCACGCAAGGTCATAGCGTTCCATAGGAGCTGTGGGGTAGCCTAGTGGTTAAAGCGTTCGCTCGTCACGCTGAATACCCGGGTTCAATTCCCCCCCCATGTGTACATTGTGTGAAACCCATTTTTGGTGATGTTGCTGGAATATTGCTAAAAGAGGCGTAAACCTAAACTCACTCACTCACTCATTCATAACGTTCCATGGGTCGTACTATTACTGGAACATATAACTGATACTGTGGCTGAGTGAATTTTGTTTAACGCTCTGTTTGGAATGTATTATTCCGTGCGAGTGCGATTAAAGACCGAAGTGTTGTTCTTAGAAACCCAAAACTGCAGTTATGAAGGCGATCAAACCTTTTCGGGATTCGAACCCATGTTTGTGCCAGGCTTATCAGGTTTCTCTCCGAAGTAAAGTAAATAATCTCAACGTAACCTCGCACTTTAACAAAAGAAAATATCTGTAGTTGATTGTACAGGGAATACTAGGAAACCTCATTACCATTTGAAATTGAAGACTGTTTGATGATGGCGGTTGTTCCCACAGTGCCATTACCTAGATGAACGAGTCATCTCAACCTTGCAATGTAATGTACTTTTCTTTTTGGGTTTCCGTTCTGGCGTTACCAATTTGAAAGGCATTTCCTGTTTTAGAAATCAAACACAGATGTATGAAGTGTGTTGTGTAAATGTTGTGGAATCTAATGAACCGACATTATCAACAGACAAAAAATGATTTTCGAGAATATTTTATCGATTTCCACGAACAGTCATAGCACATATGATTGAAACATCTGTAACGGGACAGAAATACATGTATATATTCATAATGGATGTAATAAAGCTCTCTCGTCTAGGCCCAAACAAGTGAAATTTAAATTTATTAACACACCACTACCATCCTTCATCATGTAGTCCTGAAGATTGGGGGGCGGTGGTGTAGCCTAGTTGTAAAGCGTTCGCTCGTCACGCCGAAGACCCGGGTTTAATTCCCAAATGGGCACAATGTGCGCAAAACTAAAGTCACTTACCCACTCACCTGAAGATTGGTTTCGTTTGAAAATGCTTGTCATTGGATCACTACAATAACATTATGCTGCGTGTGGCTCATATGCTGCTGAGGCAGTACCACATCCGGGAGTATCAGATTACCAAGCACAATGATTAGTCCATCAGGAACCACGGTTGGTAATGGTTGTGCTATATTGACTGGAAGCCTCGGTTCCGCCTGTGTCAACAGAATGGTCAACTGAAAGCCGGCCAGCAACCAGAACACGTGAAGCACTGGCGAGGAAACCAAGACTACAATGTTTCACAAATAAAATATATTATTTTAAGAATAGTTATTACGTACGATTTGATCCTGGTGATTAACTGCTGGAATTAAAGAGGCAAGATGAAATGGACAAGAGATGATGATAGCCGATGGAGATTGATAGCTGTGTAAAGTAGGTTGTAAACGGATGATATTGTCTGCGAACATTAACCAGCCGACGAAGTGCTAATTTCCCTGTACCACGGTGTATGCATCAGAGTAAGCAGTACGTCGTGACATTGATGAAAACAATGTCTGGGTCTGATTGTTGCCCCGCCAATATAGCTAAAATACAAAACATACCATTGGTATTCATAAAATATACACTAAACTATCAAGAGACAATTTATTCTTGCATTCAGGAGAATGATAGTTCTGTGCGCCATATATATGTATGAGAGAGCAAGAGAGAGTGTGAGAGAGAGAGTGTGTGAGAGAGAAATAGAGAGGGTGAGTGAGCGAGAGAGAGAGAGAGAGAGAGAGAGAGAAAGAGAGCCACGTCAATTAGCTGTTTCAAGTGAATTATTCTTCTGTGCATCATATATATGTATGAGAGAGAGAGAGAGAGAGTGAGAGAGAGAGAGAGAGAGAGAGAGAGAGAGAGAGAGAGAGAGAGAGAGAGAGAGAGAGAGAGAGAGAGATTGAGAGACACGGCAATTAGCTGTGCAGAGTTTCCTCCCTTGGGCACGCTGAAACCTATGGTCGTTTGTTCGAGTCCCGGTTTCCAGATTTGCCAGATACTAGTAGGTTTCATCAGAATTGTAACCATCTGAAACTTTCATTGAAAGTTCTTCTCCCATGATAGACTGTAATTGTGATATTGTTCAATGCGGGGTTACACACAACTTACTCACTCCATCCCCGCAGACAAACGAACAGCAGGGTTACAGGAGTCTCGTGGGTGGGGAAACGTGGTTGTTGATGTAGAAGTAGCAAGCAGTATTTGTTATAGTTATTAGATAAGGGATGTGTGTGCTATGTTATCAGCCAATCTTCTGGTTATTACTGAGGCAATAAAGTTGAATAACTGGCTCTGGCGAGTCGCATGTATCACAGGTATAATCCCAACAATAATCAAGATTTCTGTAACCTTTGGTTCGAATCCCAAACTTGCCCATCATTATGATTCGAGTCAGTACCATACCCAATCTTTGTGCTCAACCACATTTTGTTCAACCACATTATGTTTCGAGTCAGTACCATACCTAATCTTTGCGCTCAACCACATTTTGTTCAACCACATTATGTTTCGAGTCAGTACCATACCTAATCTTTACGCTCAACCACATTTTGTTCAACCACATTATGTTTCGAGCCAGTACCATACCTAATCTTTGTGCTCAACCACATTTTGTTCAACCACATTATGATTCGAGCCAGTACCATACCTAATCTTTGTGCTCAACCACATTATGATTCGAG